TTATTCTAGAATCTTCTCATCACAAATCAGCCGAAGTAATATTATATTTTAGTAAAACCTTTAGCTACAACAGGTCTAGTAAGTGATTATATCAACGACTACGATTTAAAAACTCGTCTAAGGAATTGCATAATTATCATTTTAAGTCACACCTGGCGGTGAAACAGTTAAAGATAGGTTAATCGGGAGATAAACAACAAATACTTCAAGTCGATATTTTCAAAGCGACATATCTAAGCCTTAGTGTGTTACGTTAAACGTCAACTTGTGATACGTTTGAAAGATTGTTCATTCCAACGAGTCTGTTTGTAATTAAGCGCAAAGCTTCATAATGGGCTATCCGTGTTGTGCCCCACCACCATTCCAAAGCGAGGAGAGTGGAATAGAGAGCTCCAAAAGAATGCAATTCCAAAGTAATTAGATTGAAAATAAAAGTTCCGAGAACGTCATTCCAAAGCGATTATATTGCAACAGTGTTGTAAAACAATGTTATTCCAAATTCATTGGATTGTAACAAAGACTCTTTCTCTACATGTTCGTTTTTTTTTTTCATTTCTGGGTTTTGCAAAATCCCCATTTATTCGTCCTATTTACATTTCCTGACTGAACAAATTGACAGAAATTCTGCACGCTTTTGCTGTCTACGATCAAGAAGGTACACACCCACTAGAGTCCAGTCTAAGTTGTGTCAGGAAACGATGTACTTCGGTGTTTAATCTGGCAAATAAGGAGCACGTGGACGATTCTTCTGACGTTGACACATTAAGAGCTAGGTCAGGACTTGGGCGTGTAAGCGGTTTTCTGCAGCATTAGAAAACCCTTCATTTCACTTGTCATGTAATAAAATATTAAACGTTGAGCTGGAACGAAAATCCGCTAATGAAAGACAGCCGTCAGAAAAACCCAAGTTATCATTAATTTTTCGTTGTTCCAGAGAAAATTTAATGTTATTCATAAATAATTAATACTCACGTGGCCAGGAAAGTGACAAGTTTGTGTAAGTAATTTATATGGTCTATTCTAGCCTGGATGGAAATATAATTAACAATTGATCAGTATTTGAAGTTTACTGGATATTCAGAGAGTACTTAAACTTTTACACACATATATATATAAATCTGTTGTTCTCCTGTGGGCTTAGCAATAAGTCAATGGGCTTATAACGCTCAAAATTGGGTTTCGATACCCGCAGTGGGAAAAAAAAGCACGGACATCCATTGTAGAGCTTTGTGCTTAACAACAAATAAAAAAACAAACAGAAGTAAGTTCATGGATTTACAATGCTAAAATCCGGGGTTCGTTTCCCGGCGGTGGACAGAGTGTAAATAGTTGTGTAGCTTTGCACTAAGAAAATTACAGTGGTAAATTTATCTAAACATTCTGTGCTGCCGAAGGATCTGTTTATTTCCTTCGCTAAAATGTGATTTTGAGAATTGAGAAATTAGTGCAAGTTGCGAGATATCTGAGCAAAGTGTTTGTCCACAGTTACCCTTGGTTTGTGACTAATAAACCAGAAGTGCTCTGGTCTAAGACAGCTCGTATTTCTTTGGTACATTTAGAGCCTGCTCGACACAAAGCCAGCGTCAACATTTCCTTCCCATCACGCTGTTTTCCAAGTGCTCTGGTCTAAGACAGCTCGTATTTCTTTGGTACATTTAGAGCCTGCTCGACACAAAAGGAGTAATTCATTTCGAACTCCTCAATCCCCGACCCCAAAACCTGGACTCCATCTGCAGAAAGTGATGCTTTGCATTTGGTGGGACATCAAAAGTGATTTTTGTCTAGGACTGAGCCATTGTTTTTGGCGTTCAATATTCACATAGAGAATTCATTTTTCATCATCGATGACAATTCTGTCCAAAAATGGTTCACACGCACTATGGGTCAGAAGAGATGAAGCAATGTTCATACATTGTAAACGATGATCATCACAGAGTTCATGAGTCACCCAAACACCTTCTTTATGGAGTTTTCCCATATTCCTTAGATATTTACTTATTGATTCATGAGACACATGCAATTTCAGGGCCATTTCACAAGGCCATTCAACAAGCATCTTCAGAGCATCAATATCAATTCCAACATGTCGGCCCCTGCCATCACGGTTTTTAAGACTAAAGTCACCTGAATGAAATTTTCTGAACCATCGTTGACACTTACGAACGTTCAAACATTTCCATATACTTCTTTCATATTCTTTGTGGCTACAGAGGTATTGTTTCCCTTCTTGTATTCAAACAGCATTACATGCCGAACGTGTCTCGTCATGTGCCATCACTATAAGGGATTAGAGTATACTAAACTTTACACATTACATAGGCTATACTAATGTGACGTTTAGGCGGTTTGTTTAACTATTATACATGATTTACATTTTTGGGGGGATGGTTAATGAAACTGTTTCAAAACGTGAAATTAATTTCTTGCCGACCTAATACATTTTGACATTTCTAAAGTAGTGTGATGTACCACTGAAAACTGACTGCTTTTGAAAGGGGTATTTAACATTCTCTTCCCTGTAGTATACACATATTTAGAGCAAAAAATGTATTCAGATATCCCTTCTATTTAACAACATTGGGAAAGTAATAATACAGATCCTTAGGACACTCGGACAATCCAGAAAGAGACCTACAAGAAATTCTAACTCACCTGTGGTATACAAACTTAGAAAGATGTTAGAACAGGTAAGAATCCTCAAACCCAAAGGTCATAGCAAAAGCTGTTAATGTTCCACAAACAACACTTAACTCCCTCACTATGGGTAGGTCAAAGTGCATGTCATGACCTTTTACAGAGTTGCATTCAAAATGTAATTAAGCTACTTTATTATCAATATAGATGAATAAACTTGGCATCAAAATATAGTTAATAAATCAAAATTTAATATTACATATGAATTATGTTCTTAATTTTATAAGGAAATATTTTAAAAAATCCTCAATCTCCCCTAGTATGAGATTCCTGACATTTGTTATCTAGGTCTTCCCTCTTCTAAGGCAAAGTCTACTTTTTATAGCCTTCAATCTTATTTATTTAGTAGAAAATCAGACCCACTTGCCATGCCCACCTGAAACATCATCTCTTTCACAAATTGGCAATAATTCTTTATGTTTTATGCTACATCATTTATAACCAACTGAAAGGCAGAGTTTTAATTTATCAAATGATGTATAATGCTACATTGTTTTCAATACAGAATATTGTCAATTTTATCTTAAATTTGAAATTTATCGCAAGATGTTCAGATCAAGCAGGAAAAGGAATTGATTCCATCCTTTTTGTCCTGGTTAGAAAGCCAGTTAAATTTTAATTGTTATAGGATATTGTGTGCACATTATTATTCTGTGTTCTTAGTTAAGTGAATAAAAGCTATTTAGTATACTAGTAAACTATTAAAAATCATTATTAAAAATTTGGCTTAAATTTCATTGGCAACCGATAGTAAAAAACAAGTCAAAGGTAAGTACTATACTCCTTCTTTTTCATGCATATCTTTTATTTAAGGTTATAAAGGTTACTAAAATGTATAAATTAGAAATTTATTAGGTTATATTAGGTAAGATCATGAAAAAGAATAGTAATTCTAAAAATTATTCACAAGGTATGTCCTTGAGCAGCTTGTGCATTACATTATTCAATACGGTAATGTGAGCAACATGTTCACCAAGCGAGTTAAAACTTGTATGGTAAGATTATTAGATGGACAAAGTTCAAAGGGCAATAAGATGATAAAATTAAGCATAAAGTTTGTTTGCTTTTTGGAATTAAGCACAGAGCTACACAATGGGCTATCTGTGCTCAGCCCACCATGGGTATCGAAACCCGGTTTTTAGTGTTGTAAGTCCGCAGTCATATCACTATGCCACTGGTGGGCTAAGTATAGAGAGATGTAGATTGTTACAAGCCTTAAGCTATATAGGATAAACAATTGTAATTTTCTGTTATAATTTGCAGTAATTTCAAATACAAAAAAAACTGTAATTCACATATATTTCATATTTTTTTATGGTGGTTACAAGGTTGATCAAATTGACAGAATGCATATAGAATTTGGGTAGAGAAAATAACAGATAAAATATAAAGCCTTACTGAAAAAAAAAATGTTTAATATGTATTTAGGAGGTATTAGAAGAAATGAAAATGAAACTTGAAAATTTACAAACAAAGAAAAGTATTTCTAATCTGAACATTAAAATAATTTTTCACTTGAAACAGTCAATACTCTGATTCTACATATTCATGAGCAAATCTTTAGTAAAAATACTAAATTAAAGAAATTGATTTTTCATGTACAAAAGACTTGTAAGCACTTACTGAAAGCTTGCCAAAAGTTTGTGAAGATACACAAAATATATTAAAAGTTATAGTATGGAAACTATGATGGTTACATGGTTGGTCACATTGACTGACCCCATATGGAAAGTTAAGAATGATTTCCACCTGGAAAAATAGCACAAGTCATGTGTAAACAAGTTACTAGAGAATGAAACAGGTATTCATGCTTTTCCATAAGAAGACCTATCAATCTAGTCATTTATGGATTTCTATGTTATTGGATTGTTGAAATGAGCATTGGAAAATCATCAAAAGTGTACACTAGATGAAATATGAAAGCTTCTGAGAAGATGGGATTTGCTTTGAATAAAAGAACTTTATTACAGAGCCTTTTCAGATGGAAATATGCTGCACTGCTATTTTGAAGATGTATGGTCATCAGACATGGCAATGATTATCAGGTAAAGCTCTAATATTGTTTTAATATAATGCACTCAAATTCTGTAATACAGTTTTTTTTATAAATGGTTTAACTAACTATCAATTGCATTACACATCTGTTTTAATATAATGCACTCAACCTCTGTAATACAGTTTTTATAAATGGTTTAACTATCAATTGCATTACACGTCTGTTTCAGTATACTTCTGTTAGACACAAATTTTTTTAAGGGTAAAATTAAATAAGCCATATGAATAAGCTAATAAATTTTATAACTTACCAGACATATTAGCACCTGCCATAACTCCTGTAACGCCACTAAAGAAAACAGCAAACACTGCTGCAAAACTAGTGGTACTTTCAGTTGTATAATCAATGGTATAGTTACCTGTTGGGGGAAAAAAAAAATCCAAATTCACACTTATTGCTCCCATCTAAGTGATTATCAGTATTTACGAGATCTGACAACTTTAGCCATTTCTCAACATTTTGCAAGGTATAACTCATATTTCATAAACCAAAACCATTAGGTTTGTATAATAATTACAAAAAAATGTCTAATGCTTTAAAATGAAAGAAACAAATTTCTTATGTAGCCTTTGAACTAAGCATTGTTTTATTTATCTGTTAAACAAAAATAAAAAATTTTCAGTAACCGATACTAAACATCCAGTTAACTTCAAATAAAATCTTCTTTACTGATCATTTCATTAAAATATTTTGATAATTATTTTGGAATAGAAATTTATGAATAAAAAAACAACAAAAACGATCCAAATTTCAATTTCATTTTAACATTTGATCAATATAACTTACTTGAAACTCCCAACAGGCTATTACGTGTTCAACTAACATTGCAGCACTGTAGAAGTATTTACTTTTCATATTTTTCTTGTGAACACTAAAGGTCCAAACATTAACAATATAATACTTTGAAAATACATGCTAACATATATATATATATATATTTGCTAGTGATACTTATGTGTTACAGTTTTAAAGAGGATAATTAAAATATCTTTTTAGAGTAACAAAGAAAATAAATTCCATTTATTCATTTTACTTACTCCAAATATTATTTGTAAAGGTTTCCCAGCTAAAGCCAGTGTAGTAGGCTTCAGATATGTTCAAGCTATGCATGTACTCATTTTCTTTTGGTAGAGGAAAACTTCCAGGTTTGACTGCCAAAAAACTGATTATCACAGATGCAGCACTGATGAGGACAATGATGAAGATGACCAGAGATGTCCTAGCAAACATAGAAGCTCCAACCAAGCATACTACAAGATTGAAGATATTCAACACAGTACCATATAGGAAGTTCCACCAGTAGCCAACATACAATATGGACGCTATGCTTCCTAAAGTGGTACATCAAATTATTAGTTATCATCATAAAGGTGATATTCTTTGTGCATATTTCATGCTGGTATCTCCTCATTAAAGCCACAGTTAACAAAAAAATTTTGAAGATTACAAATACTTTGTTAATAAGCAAATAAGGGTTTCAGTAGTTATAATGTGCTTTCCTGTGGGATACCACACAATCCTTTAAATCTCTGTTTGTGGGCTCTGTTGTTTTGACTCACCTTGTAGCCACCAAGTAATCAAAAAATATACATAACTTTGAATGTAGTTTGTGTATCTCCACAAGCTTTTAGTATTACTAGCTTAATGTAAACAAAAAAATCAGATTTTTTAATAATAACTTGTCTCTGAATTTATGAAGCCTTTACTAAGTCAGTATGAGTATTTTTCTAAAATTTTGTTTACAACTTCAATGTTTTGTTGAGTTCAGAGAATACTTTTAACAAGTGCATAAACAGGAATGCCTAATTAAAACCTTTGAAGGTTGCATGAATACTCAAAGTATCAACTTTGGCAGAAATGTTTTTTTATGATTTATAAAAGAACTTTTAGAAAGAATATATCTTGGTGGTCAAATATTAAATTTTGTATGGTTAAATAAGAATTCAAACTGAGTGATATACCAAACTATACATTATTTCAAATTCTGACACATTCCAAAAGTATTACTTATAATGTCAATAATCATCTCCAAGATATCTCTATATATACACTGTAGTAGATTTGGTATGTGTAGACTGTGTTTGGGCACATTATGATAGTACAACAGTTAATTAAATGATATGCACACACAAGAATATTTAATGTGGAAGACATACTACATTTTTCAACAATACTTTAGTCTCTCTCTTCTACATAAAACTAAACATATATATATATCTATACAAAGTATGAAGATAGTAACACGTGTATTTTGATTGTTGAATTTTACACAAAGCTACTGAAGGGCTACCTGTAGTAGCCATTTTTAGCTTTGTAGTAATAGACCAGATAGAAGGAAGGCAGCTAGTCCACACCACCCTTTTTCAATGCTTGGTCTACTCTTAACCAACAAATAGTAAGATTGACCATCCCATTATGACACCACCAGGTTTGAAAGGGGAAACATGTTCTGAAACTGTTTATTATCCCACAACACATAGATTGTGAGTTGAGCACCCTAACCACCACATTTTACATGTGGGAATACAAGGTTTATAATTAAGGAAACTGTTAAGGCTGGCCAAGCATGGGAGAGAAATACTAAGTCTGATGTCATTACCAGAAGCACTATGATGGTTTAGGGCTAAATCATCTGCTTTTATAATATCAATAATTTCTACATAACCATGTTCTTTATTTTTTGGATTGACATAGGAAAGAAAGATTATACCGAAGTATCTTATGACCAGATTCAAATTGATGACATGTTGACAAAGATTTTTCAAACTCTCCACTATGCATGTGACCTTGATGTTCTTTGTGTCTGATTTGCAAAGAACATGAGGCTTGTCCAATATTTTTTTTTTTATCCCTTTCACATGAAATACCATATACACCTGATTTTTGTTCTTTCTTCAGTACTTGTTTCAATTTAGGTAAAAAAGAAGTTTAGCTTATGCGAAGGTTTAATGAAATTTTTAAGATCAGTTTTTAATTTACCAAATTAATGGGTTATTACAATGGAACTTCAAACACAATGGGGAATGAAAGGAGTTTGTAATATATTTTGTTACTAAAAATGGAAAGCCTGGAATTGGTGTCAAACTCTTCATGGTCTTGAATCTTTATACGAGCTAAAAACCACTAGATCACTAGTGCTACATCCTTTAAGTAATTCAGCTTGTATATCCATTTTTGAAAGTACAATAATGAATTGCTTGGATTAGTATGGTAAAGTAGATGGAAAAGATTTGTGAGATGTTATGATTTGATCTTATGTATAGTGGCATAGAAACAGCATAGGCTTTTCTGTACAGAATGTTGATAATTTTATCATTCACTACTTTTACAAAGATACCAAAAAAAGTGAAGACAACTTTCAGGTACTACTTCATGATTGAAAACTATGACATTGAGCCTCATGTTATTTAAAAAATTAACAAAATTTGATAGACTTTCCCTTCAACGTTGTCACACACTGAAGATATAATTTATGTATTGTAACTAGATTTCATGTTTATTAACATACTTCCAAAAGTTCTTATTTGAAGTTGAACATGCAGAGGTCACTATGTGCAGGTGAAAAGCAAGATCCTATAGCTAAGGCAATGTTTATGAAACTGACTACCATATGTAAAATAAGTATTATTTACAGAATTCTGTGAAGTTAATTAGGTGAGATATATCATTAAAATTGTGTAACTTACAGTTTCTTTGCATCCAGTTCTGTTTATTAAATATTTTCACCTTACTGTAAAGTGACTTTTACTAACAATTTCAAGCTAGACAAATTAAAGAACTATTATTTACGTCAAACTGGAATTACCGAGAGAAATTATTAGGAGGTGCTTCTGACAGTCTCCAGTGCTAACTATCCATTCCAACAAGTTGATTTAAATATCAAGTTGTCAAGAAATTAATTTCGCATTTTGGAACACTTTAATTAACCAACCCCAAAAAATGTACATCACATATAATAGTTAAACGAACCACGTCACGTCAGTGTAACCTATACAATATGTAAAGTTTAGTATACTCTTTTCTCTTATAGTGATGGCACACGATGAGACACACATTCTGCTTGTAATGCTGTTTGAACACAAGAAGGGAAACAACGCCTCTGTAGCCACAACAAATACCAAAGAAGTTTATGGAAATGTTTTGAATGTTCGTAAGTGTCAACGATGGTTCAGCAAATTTTGTTCAGGTGAC